CTCCATTCAAATTGCAACCCATAGAAATATTAAAATCTAAGAAAAAACCAGAACCTAAACCCACTTCAACTTTCATTTTATCATCCACATAATCATATCATAAGATTTTCTCCAAATTAGAATCCACTACTAATTAAATAATAAAGCAATATTCTTAAAACAAATTAACCAACAGAAATTATCAAATTCAGCTGGGAAATAAACAATGATTAACATACCGAGAAAATCCCCCTCCGCAACAAAACATTGGACGAAAAGCCATAGACAAACTCCCACCAACAAAACTCGATTATTCAGTCAATGAGAAAACGACCCCACAAACCCAAATCAGCTCCTTTTTCTTCTCTCGTACTTTGGCCAAGCTCCCTTCTGCTTCTTCTTCTTCTGAGTCTTCTCAACTCTCTCTCTCTCTCTCTCTCTCTCTCTCTCTCTCTCTCTAGCTTGTTGCAGAATGGAGCTGAGAGAAAAAGTAAAGCGGAAGCCGATGAAGAGGATGAGACGATACCAAGCTTGGAGCTTCGGTCATTGGGTTTGTTCGTGGGCAAAAAGCTGCAGTATTTTGGGCGAATGCCGCGCTTTTCTTTGAGAAGCTGAATGATAACAGACGGGGATTTGCAGAAAGTCCACACCCTTCTTCTTCTTCAAGCTTCCTTCTTCTCTCTTCTGTGTTTTTTAAAAGTTTTTGGTCCACCTGTTACCATTTTCTTCAATATTTATTTTCAAACCGCACCCAATTTTTTATTTCAAACCGCACCCAATTACGGTTTGTATTTAATATTTTTCATTTAATTTATTTACAGTTTTGTCATTTTTCTCATATTTATTAGGAAGCGTTTTTGTTCACAAACCATAAACTATGTTCATTGTATGTATAATTAGTTGCCAAGTATCATTTCACCTAATTCTATTTAATTTTTTTTCAAAATTGAAAATGTAACATTTAAGTGAAGGAACACGTAACAAATGATTAGGTGTATAATGAGTATACACCATGGTTTATAGTGATAGCAAAAATGCTCCCTATTTACTTCTTTTGTTTAGCAATGGTTACTAGTTTTGTAATCGAAATCAAAATAAGTAGTTAAATTTCAATTATGGATTATTTATGTATTTTTGGGCTAGTGAAAATTCAAAATAAGTAAGATTGATATAAATAAGAATTCAGTTAAAATATGTCTATCTATTTATATTCATATTATGTCTCGAATTTATGATAAATCAATAATATAGTTTACTTATATTATAATATATGAATTGATAAAGCTATCACACTTCAGATTTATCTCGACTTATTTCTTAAATGAACACTCTATCACTCTGTCATTCACTACGAGAACTAATCTTGGAGCATGAAGCGAAACTTTACACCATATTACTTTGACTCAAAGGGTGACTTTCTTGGAAATAATTGAATTTGGGGCCAATACATTACTGTTCCAACATCCAACTCATAATTAAGGTTTCGTTTGGAATAAAAGAAAGTAGTTACACATGCATGAGCTTTACAATTAATTGCATTAAAATATGATATTATTGGTATGAATTTGGCTTTAAACCGTCCACTTCCTTGGTGGGGTTTCCTTTGTTCCAAACGGTGACAAAAGACATAAAACTACATAAAAGAAGGACAATAGTGGTTGAGATTTGCATGACTTCTCGCTGTGATTCTTGAGAATTGAAATCAATAGAATTAGTTCTTGAGATTGTCCATTATCAATCATTTTAGTCATTGGGTGAAAAATTATATTAAATTATGAAAAATTATGTTAAACAAAACTATCCTCAATTTAATAAACAATAGGCCAAATGATTTGACCAAAATTGAGGATATTTTTGTTATTTTATTCTTATTTTATGGAGATTTTTTACGGAATGACCAAATTAATTAATTAGGGACAAACTCAGAGATCAATTCTATCTATTTCAAATCTCAGGGACTAAAAATGAGGAGTTATCCAAATCTCAGTGATCATTTTGGCTAAAAAGTCTATTTAAATATATACGAAGAAAGTTAAAGTTGCACTATAAAATTAATTGGTAATATAAAGAGTAACTCACCTTATTTATAAATTCATGCCTCCCATCAATAGGAGATTCATTCTCAACATGGCCCTCACGTGTGGCGAATTTTCAAGCCTAACACGTGGACTACACAATCAGGATGACGTGGAGCACATGTGGCTGTTGGGCTTCACACGTGAGGCAACCTGTTCTAATACCATGAAGAAAGTTGAGATTCTATCATAAAACCAATTGGCAATATGGGGAGTAACCCAACTTACATATAAATTCATGCAAGGTCCCTCGTCCCATCAACGTAAGATTCATTCTCAATAGTATACAAGTAGCTGTTATTTTCAAGTGATGACTCTGTTGCCTATTAGTTTTGCATACATGTCATAATTTAACATTTAAAAGACTAAAATGTCATTATGCACTTTGTATTTTTCTCTGATGTCTCTGTGAGTTTTCCTAGCCTTGGCAATGGTGGATTGCAGTGAGAAAGCCACTAGCTGATCCACTTTTTTTTTAAGGAAAAAAAAAACACCTACATTACAAAATGTGGTAAGCGTAGATTTCCTCTCTAGTTTTATTTTTCTTTTAAATTCCTTCACGAGAATACATGTTAACTATTTTAGAGTGCTAATAATAGCACTCACCCAAATATTTGATTTGTTTTGACGTCTACAAAAGTTAGTATCTAGTTTAGTATGTAAAATCAACCAAAAGTTGTACAAAATGTTTTGAAATAGTCTCATTTTCACTATCTATAGATAAATTCAAAAAAGATGGTGCTATCTCATAAGATTAATGTTAGAGACAACAAATTTTAAGATGTTAATGACGTGCTAATGTTTTATTTGTTCTCTGTATGATCCTCTTCTGACCTTATTTATCCACAAGAAACAAGAAATTATCAAGTTAACTGGTATATAAAGAGTATGTGTCATTTGTGTCATTGATCTAGACAAAAAAGATGTGAACATTGCATGATTGCAATAAGAAGGAAGAATATACAAAAAGCAAGAGATCTCACATTCTCCTTCAAACTATATGATAGATTGTGAATAGGTTCAAAATCTTTTACTAGTGGAATAATAATAACAGCCTTTTTTCTTTTCTTTTTTTTCTTTAAAAAAAAATGATACTATTTACATTAAAAAGGAGTAAGTGATTAATGGAATAGCAATATTTGTGATTCAAATTTGTCTTTGATGATAATCGAACTTAAGATCTGTTATTTACAAGTAAAGAGAACTACCACAAACTAGTGGCAAAATAATACTAACAGCTAACACCTTATTTTGTGGAAATACTGTTCAGTCGATCTCAAAACTTTCTTGAACCAAGTGAAAACAACTTTCACTAAACCAAATGATCGTTGGTGAATAATTATTGATTTACCAATACGAATCAACCATTTCATCTGCCCCAGAAGGTTTTAACTTTTCTGTAATTATTTTTCAAAGTGATTTTTAACTTTTTAATTGTTCATATTATGCTGCATTTTAAAATTGAACTACTTCATTGACTGTTGTTGTTTGCGAAATTCCCCTGCAAAACTAATGCAAGAAGAAGCATCAAATAAGTAATAGAATATGCCAAAGTGGCTGGAACAAGTTGATTCTCCATCTCTACCTATAAATAATTGATCAAAAAAATTTAAAAAGTAACACAAACCAAGTGATGACAATAATAATTAGCCAAAATTATATAAAATCTCTTCGAGAAAGCGACAAAAATTATTTAAATACCTTGAACACAGTGATGTGATTACGCTTATGGTGCAATAAGCAATACGTTTTTTGTAAGGTGAAGCTTTAAGTCTTAACACGTTGAGGACAATAGCCGTACTCAAGTTGCGAGATTTTTTGATGTATTCAAAATATAGGGTATTATGCCATATATTATTATATAAGTGATGAAATTTTTTATATTTTTTCTTTCAAGTATCTCTTAAATTATATAGTTAAATGTAATATATCGTCTCTTGTTCTGAACACACTGAAAAATCTCTTATCCAAATCTAACTTAAAATTTACAAAACTAAACGTCTAAAACGGTAACCTACAAGTCGATGTCGTACCAAAGTGGCAGTGTTTTTGGTGAGTCCTAGAAGACAAACCTTTGTTTGATTGGAGCTTTCATAAAATTTGGCAGTTGTCGATCAAGGTTTATATGGAGTGACAGTTCTAGAAGGATGCACTGCTATTCTTGGATTATATGTAATGCATTATTTCTTCTTCATTTGTTGCACTGCTATTCTTGGATTATATGTAATGCATTATTTCTTCTTCATTTGTTTGGTAGTTTGTAGAACAACTTGTCGTTGATTGGAATATATTCTGTTTGAGAGCATTAATTTCATATCGAATAAAGTGTTTACAATGTCAATTAGTTTTATTTCGAAACGCATCTCAACTTTCTTCATTTTCTCTTTTGGTTTTTTGTTTTTTATTGTATTTCATGTAACATAGTAGATGTGGGCTGTTGGTTAGAGAAGCTCTCTTCTATGCACTCAAGTTTGAATTTCCCTCCTCGCAATGTAAATAAATTTAAATTAAAATACACTTGTATACAAAAGACTGTATTTCCTAATAACTTATGCTAAGTTGTCACTCAGTACTATGATATGGTAGTATTCTCTTTACTTGGAAGTGAGAGGATCTTAGGTTCGAATCTCGTTGATGATGAATTCGATGCTAAATTAGATTGTCCATTGTGTGATGTAGCCGAACCCTCATCTCTTTAATGTAAAAATATTGATATACTAAAAAAAATTTGCTACGTTATTTTCAATCCACCGAAAAATTTAGAATAAAAGGTTATTTTTGACTCTTTATTTAACACCTTCCTACCAATGTACACGAAATAAAAGGAGATGAAGGAGAAAGATACGACATGTCAGATGATCTTTCCCAACCAAACCCAGCTAATACCACAAAAGAGGCAAAGACTTTGAAATATAATTTAAAGTACGTAATTCATTAACCAAAATATTAATTAAACTTATTTATTGGGATAAACAAAAATAGTAATACACACTTAAACTATACAATATATATTATTATCTACGACAATAAAAATAGAGCTCAAGATCTTTAAACTATATTAAAAGAAAAGTTAAGTCAGTACATTTCGATGTGTCAAACGAAACCGAGAGTCTTTATGGTCTCGGTGTATCACATGTACCAATGCCAGAATTGAATGACGAGTCTAAATTGTCTTCCAACCCACTATTAGACTTGTAGCAAAGCCCAGAATTGTTATAGAGCCTGAGCTTCCTCCTCATCCTCCAAACCATTTCTCTTCCAAATGGGATTGGACCCATTAGCCAATTGTCATTCAATCTCAATTCACTCACACTTTTCAGCTCCCTAAAACTAGCTGGGATTGAGCCGTTGAAATTGTTCCCGTCGAGATGAAGCACGCGGAGGCTCGGCAACCGACCTAGTGATGCTGGTAGAGGACCATGCAAATTCATGTTTGACAAAATTAGTGTCATTAGCCCCTTCATACCATCGAACAAGTCACTTGGAATTGGAGTGGGCCCCATTTGGTTTCCCTTGAGGATCAAGGTTTGAAGGGAGATTAAGCTTCTAATCCACATTGGAAGGGGACCCTTGAGTCGATTGTAGCTTAAATCCATCAGCATAAGGCTTTTCAGGCCGCCAACGGAGTCGGGAAGTGGGCCGGCGAGGTGGTTGTGGCCCAAATCCATTTTGATTAGGGCATGACAGGCTCCAATGCTGGATGGGATTGAACCCATTAGAAGATTTTGGTTCAGATCAAGGATGCTCAAAATTGGGAAGGTAAAATTGGGTATTGAACCGGTTAGCCTATTTCCACTGAGGTCTAACGACCTCAGACCGGTGATCCGGCTCAATGACACTGGAATTGAACCGTTGAGATTGTTTTTGTGGAGGTCAAGGACACTTAAACGGGTGAGATTGCCCAACTCAATAGGAATAGGACCCACATGCTCGTTTTCTCTAAGAACTAATGTCTGAAGTGTGGGACCCAAACGCCCCAAAAACGATGGGATGGGCTGAGGATTGTAGGTAAAACAACGGTAGAAAAATAAGGTCCGGAGGTAAGGAAGTTTAGTGATGGAGGGTGAAATATGAGACCGGGTCGGGTCGCATGTCGGGAATGCGGTGTCATCGGATAGGGCCCCGAAAGAGAGTGAAACGATGTGGTAGACGTTGTTCTTGTCGGGCTTGCACTCAATGCCGTGCCACCGGCCACGGCACACGTCAGGAATTTCAGTGGCCCAATCGTTTCCTGTTGCCCGCATGATGTCATAGACCGCTTCTTGCTCACGGGCATCGGTTTGGGCTCCGTCTTTGTTCATGGAGAACCCGTTTTGTGGTCCGTCCACAAGGTCGGACGGCACGCCGGAATCCGACATGATGACGGTGAAAGGCATGGCCCCTAATGTGCAAAAACACAAGAAAGATAGAAATAAGAGTAGGGGTGAGAAGATGGGAGCCATTGTAAGAAGAAGTTTGGACTAAGTTTAGGAGTGGATGAGTATGAGTGGCAGTTGGGAGGTATATATAAAGGTTGAGTGCGTTGGGGGGGGGGGGGTTGAAGTTAATGTTATTTGGGTCGGGTTGGTGAATGAGGTATTTAATGGTTCACGGGAAATCGGAGCTCTACTGATCCAGTGTGACAAAGTGGAAATAAATACATGAAATTTTGTGCATTAATATGCTTCACGGGATTTATACCAAAGTTTTTTTATTTTAATTTTTTTGGGTTGGGGGACACTGAAATTTGTTGCATTAATTGTTATTGAAATGCTTCACTTTGTAACCACATGTTCTTGCAGCTTCAGTCTTAGAATTCATAAATATGAATGTCCCAAAGGTAAATATACACACACAGAGCAATGTTGCACAGAAAGAAATGCCATGACTCAGTAAGCTCAATCAGCTCCTTTCTTTTCTTCTCCAAAATTCTCAAGCTCTCTCTCTCTAGCTTGTTGCAGAGTTTGAGTGAGAGAAAACGAAAAGCTGGAGAAGACGATTAGACGAAGATATAGGAGGTGATTAAAAAGGAAAAGCGCTTCGAGAACCAAACAAAGACATTGTTTGGTATAGAGGATTGGATTGGAATGAGAAGAGACTGTTTAATCAAAGATATGCTGAAAGAAGAAATGAAAAAAATTTGACCAACTTAGAGGTAGAAGAATGATTACTCATATCCGTTCGTAATCTTTTCCAAAATGGTAGGACAATGAGAGGTTTCTTTCATGTTTAATCCCTTTCTACTCATCTCAAAATGAAAAATTATTATCCTCTCTACCTAATATACCTTGAATTTAAAGAGTTTTTCATTTTAATCCAAACCTTTATACCAAATTACCAAAGAGGATTTTCAGTGAGCAATTTAATATTTAATAAGATGGCCTTGTTTTCTTTTTATCTTTCAAGTTTTTGGTCCTGCAAGTAGCCTTCTTATTTTCTCAGTTTCAAGATCAATATCTTTGACTTGACAACCAATAATATTAGAGAAAATTAGTGAAAACTCCAACAGGAGGAAATTTTTTTTATTGTGACCGGAACACGAGAGTACATCCCATGTTTTTATATAAGTAATGGAAAATTTTATGTTTTAAGCTATTAACTTTTTAACACACATATACCACTATTTGTTTAGTGACATGTGGTGTACAATTCCGTGTATCGGTCACACTGAAAAATCTCTCTAACGAGAGAGAGAGAGAGAGAGAGAGAGAGAGAGAGAGCGCGCTACATAGGAGGCCGGAATTGAGAGGAAGGGATTTGTGGTACGTGGTTTACAGTTCACACAAGCACGTTCTTTATAGCTAGTTAGCTACCAGCCCAGCGGTATCGTACGCTGTCTCAACTTATGCTTGAAGTTTTGCTGAATCAAATCAAAGACGAACTAATACATTAACATCGATATGATGAATGCCAGTTGACGTGGAGTATGCATCGATATCTATGCCAAAGCCTAATTACAATATTTCGAAAAAATTGAGGGACAAATCTTGGCACAAAAATGTAACAATCGAATCACCAAATTGTATCTGCATTTCTCTATCGATTAAGAAGACAGTCTCTATAAACACAATTAGAGACGTTTCCACATCTGTAGCTAGTGAAGCTTTTTCCTTGTAGTGCAAAGATCCATAGAGGTTTAGACCTATTCCATGAAATGCTACCGTTTTCTCTAACAGAACGCAGCTGAAAAGCAAACTTAAAAACTATAGTATGTAAATGTGAAGCCAAGAATTTGATGTTATGGACCATTCCTTCCACTGACGTATCCAAGATTTCATCCATCATTAGCATGTCCATATATAGTTACTATCGCGTTCGTCTCTATCTCCAGTTTTAGCCATCCTTGTTCCACACTACACTGTAAGACCAGCCCTAATAGCCTCAGTAGCTCCGCCATAATGCTAGAACAACATGGGAAACCTCCAGCCCACCAACAGCAACGAAGCAGCCAACCGGCGATCGTGCAACCCAACCAAATCCTCCCTGTGATATAAAGAAGAAATCCATGCGCCGTCACAATTCACCTTCTGTCCTTCAGTGCTTCACAAATCCCATTGCCGGCTTACCCCACTTAGCAGGAGCAATCATCTCTTCCCAGTCGTTAGTTTTGCCTCAACATACTTAAAAATTGATATCTGCATAAAACTTACATCATTGCGACATTAACATATTCTGTTGGAAAAATTGGGGTCTAGTTGCTATATTAAATCATATAAAAATTTAAGAAATAATTCATGCAATTATATATCAAAATTAATGCATGCACATGAGTAACCAATGTTAAATGAACATGACATAATGGATTTGAAAAACCTGAAAATTCGGTCGAGGCAAGTGTTAGACACTTTGTCCTTAAGACAAGTTTACGCCCCACTATGGTGCTCATGGTTGATTGGCGCATGTCTCCCAATATACAACGACCATGTCCTTGTAATAATAGCACTCCAAATCATAAGGCTCCATGAACCACGATTGTGTTGAAAACTCTTTTATATGGATTCTATGAAACTCTCTAATATTTAATGCACTTTATGTATGATTATGTAAACAACGAAAAGTTATTTTTTGATTATAGGGGCTTCCTTATTTATAAAATGTGAGATGCCTCTTTGGAAAGTATGTGACTATTCATGAAGAGTCAAAAGTTGCAACTCTTCATTTGAGTAGACACATCTTTCTACCAAAAGGCTCCACTTCTAATTTCCATTCAATTAATAAATTTAATATAATAATATTATTATTAAAATTTCTAACAATCCCCCACATGAATGGAAATTGACTCAATACCATGCAAATGACAATGCAAACACTAGAGATAGAATTTAGTAGGAAAAGTACTGTATCGGGATAGGTGGCTTTTGGCTTTGAACCTTTCGTAGTGAATTACTATCGGATTTACTTGGCTAATCAGTGAATGCGATGTCTTGAACTACTTAGCCGTTTGTGTAAACCAAGACAATAGTAATCACACAATACCCTTCCAGACACCTCGTGGTTGCTCGGTTGTGTTCATTTTGACCTTGAACAATTCTTGGTTTCTCATGAATGCTTTTAGAGAACTAAGCCCTTCAAAAAAATTCTCACAAGAATGGCCCAATTCCTCACTTAAGATAGGTGACTTCCCATTAAGAGTATCCTGCAATACCTCACTTGTTATTTCCAAGTATATGAATCATTAAAAGCAAAGCTTATCTTAAATACGTTGCAGATAACACTATTTCATCATAGGACATAGGGCAGGAGATTATCTTTGTAGTGCTTCCATTGAATCGTCCACAAATTGGTTGTCCCCTTGAACCTAGATCTTGGGATCTCTAGTCAGCTAGGTTGGGTTGCCATTATGGTGATTCTTAAAGATGTAGGTCCTTTAACCCATTCATCTCGATGATACAACTTACTCTCTAATCAAACCTTTAAAAATTGGTACCACTAGGTTAACTATTCATTATATGGTCATCACAAACTTTATATCCATGCATGGAAATTATTTCCTTTGAGAGTAGTTGTTTTCCAATGTAATTCCTCCAAACATGCATTCGGACTTGATAAGTAATTTGCTAACACTTGAGTAAACTCCCCCACATTTAAGGTATTTATAAGAATGTCTCCAACCTTACCATACCTTAAACAATTACTCATTACAAGAGATGTCATTTTAATTGTCTCATTCAATTAGCAAATTATATTTCTATTTCTCAAAAATAGCTAAGCCACCTCCACAATTTCCTCACATTATGGTTGCTTTTTAATGCTATCAATTACTCACTTATCAACCTTAATACTTTTTGTAAAAATATCAATAACCTGTTGGTTTCATGTACAAAAAAAAATTCCATTCATGATTGACTAGATCATTGATGCCACAAATATCCAAATACCAAATTCAACCTCTATAAAACTTCTTCAAAATATAAGAAGCTCTTGGGAAGAAAGATCTCCCTCCAAGCCGAACATACGAATTTCATTGAATACAACTTTCCACAGAATTCTAGAAGTAGGAAACTATGAAGATAGTCTTTCTTTGTCTATCTTCAATTGTTAGAGATTTGTTTGTAGAACTTACACAGTTTCCACGGTAACCCTCACCCTAGAGTGCTTAAACCTTTCAAAGCAGACTTTGGCCTCCACAACTAAAGCGTCATCTTCAAGATGAATAACTCAAACAAAATGAGTTCATGCTTTACAATTTAACTAAGGACAACATCACTACTGATTGTCAGAACATCACGACTGATTGTCATTACTCAAAATCAAATTTCATCGTCTTATCGTGACAAACATAGTTCCCATTATATTACTCCTCTTTCGAGAAAGTACTCATAATTCTCCATAGTACAACACTTGATATACACTAGAGAAAAACAAATATGCAATTATGATATGTCAAACGATAACAAATGCATTTCTATATACCTTTTATTGCAAACATGGATTTTATGAACATACACATAAATCTGATAAATATATGCATACAGACCTTAATTTTGCTCGGCAACCGCTATCCAAATTGATCAAGCAAGGCATCTGTTGAGAAAAGTCATTGGGGATGCCCAAATATCCACTAGTTTGATCACAAACCATTGGACCCTTGCAGTCAACCAATGACTTTCTATTGCAATGTGGCAATGCCCATAAAAATTTTCATCTAGGAAGTTCATCTATTCGACTTATATCAAATCCTTTTCAATTATGAGATAATATGTTTAACACAAATTCAAATTTACACTGTTGCATACAGTCCATAGAAACATATATTTATTTCTCACCTAAATAAAAAACTAACGAGAGTAAACTCACAATATAATGCCAAGAAACATTCAATTCTTAAAAGAAAACAATTATGATATCAGTATTATATATAGGCAAAATTGTCAAATAAATGGCGACATGCATGCAACTAAAACAATGCAACTTTTCAATCAATACATAACCCCTTTCATGCGTAACTATTAAATAGAATATATATATATATATATATATA